CTTCCTATTTTAGTAGTTGTTACGTATTTCTTGCTCTTGTATTTGGGTTTACACAACCCCAGCATCTATATTCAAACTTTCCTTCTTTCCCAGATTCTTTATCGATCTCTTCTTTACTTCTAGCCAGCAACCCAAAAAGGTTGGTTCATATAGACTTTAGATGTCTATATGGTCTTTCTTCCCTTGGTACATACTTTCAGAACACATGTCCTTTGCTTCTGGTTTGGCGACCTGGCAGTTCAGCTGGTATGTCCTCCTACTTAAGAACCTGGTTGCTTGGTTCTCTGATATCAGTCCCCGGTTCCAAATTTGATCCTTCTATAGTACTATCAAAGATCATGCTACCTCCTAACTTGAGACTTGCCAAATAGGTTTTCAGTTCTTCTAGTATCTCAGATTTATTATACGAAGGCTCCTATTCTAGATAGTGTGACCGAAATTACAGATTTCTAGATCCTACTAATCATTGAATAGCCATTAACTATATCACAGAGCTATTTTTTGAAAACATCATCCATGGAATTTGAACTCTAGACCTGCCATCTGGAAGTGCAACAACTTCACCACTTCACTAAGTCACTACACTCACTTTTGTTTTTTTTTAGTTTTTCTTCTTTTATATATATTTTATTTTTTTTACTTTTTTTAGTAGATATACTATTAAGATTTAGATAAAAAAAAGTTTTAAAGAAAGGCTTAGACTTTTTAACAAAGCCTCTAGTTTTGTATAATTTATACAGGCTAGTGCAATAAGTTATATATAATAATGTCTTTAAATATATCAAGTAATGTCAAACTTATAGATTAGGTATCAAATATTGTAACTCTAGTTATAATAAGCTTAATAAAGTTTCTAGCAAAACTGCCTAAGTTTAAAAAAAAAAGTAAGTTTTTATTATTTTAATTTAATATTATTTTATACTAATTTTTTTTTTTTTTTTTATATCTAGTTAATATGTCTTTATTTTAATAATTCTTGATTACTAGAAGTTTATTGTATTTGTTTTTTGTTTGTATTTTATAGTAAATGATGGAATTAGTATGATTATTAATCCTTGTTTAATGTTTGGTTATTAAGTAATATACAGCAAGTTGGATTGGTCAAATAGAATTTATATATTATATATATATATATTTTTTGCATATTATCAAACTAGGGTTATTGATATACTCATGATAATATTATTAATTAGATAGTTTTTTCCTAAATCAATCTAAATAACAAAAATATATAAATAAAAAGTATTGCTTAAAAAAAACATACCAATAAAATAATACAGTAAATAATGAAAGAAAAAAAATAGTAAAAATTAAAAATTAAAAAATAAAACCAAAATAAAAGCATAAAGATAAAAGAAAAAAGATAAAGATTACAAGATAAATAAAAAAGAATCGTGTTAAAGAAAAAGAGATCAAACAACCATTTTAGAGTGGCCGCCTCATGTTGAAAATTTATTTACTTGTCCATCCCACAATACTGAATAATTACTATAAAAGTTCATTACAAGACCCGGGCCTATTTCATTCCACCAATCTTAGTAGACCCGAGGTCTAGTACTCGCCCAGAAGTATCATGAAAAGAAAAAATTTAAAGTGCATACTCACTTTGTATTTATAATATACATTCTAACTATCTGAAAAAAATCACATTTAATTAATAAAGATTCTGTGATTCGCATAGGGGCTAATTCATGGTGGGTCAATTATTTTGGGGATCTTGTATATGAATTTTTACGGTAATTTAACAATAATTGAATTATTCCTGTATTTAATATGTATAGAACATCTTTATCGAAGATGACACAATAAATGATTCATTCTAAAGTTTAATATTTGCATATATTTCATTGAATGCTTCGTTACTTTTTTAATTATACCGTATATATTATCTGAAAATTAAGATTAATCACCGATTATATCTTCGACCATATTTCTGTATTTTCTATGCTTTTTTTTTGATAATTCAATTATTAATTGCCAGAAATAAATTAATAATTTAACAATTTGCTATTAAATTTAGAAAGTCTTATCGTTAGTTTTGTGCTTACTTACAACGGAAAATATTATCGTTTAATTAGCAAAATCGAATCTATAGATGCCTATTTTCGCTACAGAAGATGATGTACATACGTACAGTAAGTTATGAAAGGTCTAATTACCACAAATACAAACTTTAGATGATTAATCGTCTTGAGATTTAGGTGACACATTGATAAAGTAATACATACTTCTAATTCTACGGGACAAAGCACTTATCATTATGAATACAAGATCAACCTGAATCAAAACAAAGTGTGAAACCAATCAAGAACTCGCGAACCGGTTTTCTTTAGATCTACAGATATGTAATAATTATCTGATTTATCTAAATAGGCAAATAAATTTTCAAAGTACATGATTTGCAGATTTACAGAGATCTGGATCACATGGTACAGAAATTAATTATAAGTCAATGAGCTTTAACTGTTATTCATGTAAACACAAAAATTAAGAGTTTTTATGTATGCTAAAATTTAAAAACGTTTCAAAAAACCTGGTGTTATTTACACACTTGGCAGACGTTGAGATTTTGGATAAATAATTACACCACACGTCGATATCGTACTACAAATTAATGCCATGCGGTCACAATTGATAAATGCGTGTGTAGGTACAAATATTGCACGGAGAAACCTGTTAATAAAAAGCATCAATCAGGAGGGTTAATCTTAGGGGCAAGTGACAATGAAGATAAAACAAACAAGATGATGTTGGATGGAACCTGAGTAATAAGAATAGGATCTTGACAATATCTTGCGTAAAAATGAAGAATCTATAAATTTATGATTTCTATGAAATATCCTTTTTTACCTAAGACTTTTCTTGTGCACATGGTGACACGGCATGGCTTGTATTTGTTTGTTAGTTAATTGTTTGTTTGTTGTGTGTTATGCGGTGCAACAGTGTATGTCGAACAATTAACCGCAGGAAAGTAAAGAACGTACGATAGGAGAAAATAGGATTAAGGAAAAGAGTTCCACTAAATGTGTTACCAAATTTTGTGACAGATTTTTTCTAGACTTAGCCGAGATCTAAGTTATCAAGATATGGAAAATTATTAAGGACAACAAAATAAGAACAATCGTTCCATATGATGTACACAAAAACATAAATAATTCTAGATGGATTTAACTTTCCTCATGCAGAGATGCAGTGTGACAACTAGAAGTCAGAAGGGTTAAAAATATTTGAAAAGGTAATTCGAGTGTAACTTGTCACTATGTTTACGAATTGATATTCTAACATCGAATTATTTACGATCTTTGGGACCAACCAAAATTTGTGACTTGAATTGGTTTTGTTTTCATTGGTAATCTTGGCACATACGACATATTGATAATTACCAAATTAAACAATATCCGGTAGTCGAAACAAAATGCTTATCATGCTTGTAGTAAGCTCAGCAGATGGTAGCATCGCCGTAGGAAACATAACAGTTCGACGACAAACATCGTGCGCCTTATTCATAGCCTCTGCAGAATAGATTCAAATGTATACATTTATGGTTTGTTTACTCTTAACGATGATCCAATTGAGTTTTGATGAAACATAGGGCGATCATTGGTTTCGCTTTTTTGGTTACGTGTTAGGTTACATGCTTCAGTAATACTTATACAATTACAAATCGTTATGGTACGTAGTGCTAAAATTCTAATGTGATCACATGATAATGTCGGAATAATGCTGTGTCAAAATCATTACTAATTAAGGATCAAAATTGTAACAATTGTGTGTCGGAGTCTAAAACAAGTCGGTATAGTCAGTCAATATTTGGAAATTCATTAATTTCTGAATTCGAATATGAAAATGCCGGTCAATCTTGTAAGATTTTTGTGAATCCAAAAAAATAAGGATTGAACAGAATCCTTAGATTTCATTCGCCAAGTTTTTGGTTCTGAGTTAACCATTTTTGAATCGAGGGATATAACCATGCCATGTCGATCTGATCGATGTTCTTTATTGACTACGTTGAACAAGTTGGAGAATCTTAAAGCAAGCAGTATAATGCTATTAATTTTCCTTTCTCAGAAGGAATGTGATAATGTATTATGTGGTAAGGGCTATCTTTGTTTTGACACATAAAACAAACTTTTGTGAGGCGATAAAATGTTTGTATGTGATATTCTGCTCGGACAAACGTTCCAACTACGGAATTACCCGTCGCCACGTAGAATCCAGCCTTGACCACCCGACCCATTACATCCGAACACGCTTTCAGCATGTTGTTTGCTGCTACACCGAAGCCCACATTGCATTTTAATTATTATTATTATTTTTTTTTTGCGCGGTTATACAATCATGGTATAATAAGGACGGGAAACAAGCAAGGGGATTTTCTTTGCATTTAGCAGCCACAAAGTGTGTCATGCAAAATCTGCTCGGATCTCATCATCTTACCGGCATTCACTTTTTTGTCAACTTATTTTAGACTATAGTTCCTTAACGTAATGGTATTTTGTACATTTTATACTACATTCTACTGCATGAGATATACCCAATGGTCATTTTTGGTTGGCTCTAATGAGAATAAAAATCATCTATTATCCTCATAAATCATTGACCCGCCACTTCTCTTTTTATTTAACAGTGTTGCCACTGGTCCATTTGTTCCCGCCCATGTCTTCTGTCATTCTTTGGTGGCATTGAATCTTTGTTCTTTAAATAAAATAGACACAAACTGATAAGCGCACCTTACGCGCTATATTATAATAGTCTTCCTTTTTTTATTTTTTTTTATTTTTTTTTTATTTAGAATTCACTTTATTTAGAGCCGTCTTATTATTATTATATATATATATTATTTTATTTTTATTGGTTTTTTTTTATAAATATAGAAGTAAGTTTTTTTTTTTTTATTGAAACATGAAATTGTCTACATTAAATTTTATGACTTACGACCTTTTATTGTAAAATAGTTATCAAAGCAAAGAAACACCAGACACATCAATATTGAAACAACAATGGATGTTTCCTCTATATGTTCTTTCCCGCCCTTTGGTAACGAAGTGATTCATTCCAGCGCGTCACTTACAAGAAATGATGCGTTAGCGAGAGTTTCTTGTTCGGATTCGGATAATAACAAAAGTGTTTTGCCTCCAATATCTTCGATTTTATGTCCTTTGACACAATCTGTCCCTATGAAAACATCCTTGAGCCATCATGATGACTCTTCAATGACTATGCCTCCTCCTTATTTACAATCTTCAACCTCTAAACATCATCCGATAAATTCTGAATCTCGGCTTGAGCACCATGCAAGTTCTGTTAGTTCTCCTTCCATCGTAAATCATGCGTCGGCTTCTCTCGATAATTTATCACGAGGACAACCTTCACAGAAACAACATACTCATTGTTTAAGGACTTCACATTCAACCTCACCAAGTCCAGGGCATAATTCACCAGTCGTCCATTCATTATTAAATGTTCGTTCTGGTGAATCTTCTTCCTCTCCATCCCAACAGATTTCCGTTCAGTCAAAGTCTGAGACGGTTGACCATCCTCATGAAAATAATATTCACTTACAAGTAGCATGCTTTACGATGGA